ATGCTTCAAAAGAAATTGATTGTTATGAGATCATAGTGTATTGTAACGGTATATAAGGAGCTGAAAAAATTAAGTAAAATCATAACCATCATCATAATCATCATCATTAAAATCATCATCATCATCATCAGAATTCAGCACAAATCATCGACTCCGTGTGATTTCTTCAGCCGACTCCACACATTCCTTCGTGAGCCCCTCTAATAAGTGTGTTGGGGCTGGCCCCCGGCAGGAATCGAACAGGATTTGAAGTCCTTATTAACGAAGATCAGATCCATTCTTCAGTATGGATTACACATCAATGTAAAGAAAACAAAAACTCTACAGTTGGACCTATAAATAACATCACGATAAACTGAGAAAATATTGAAGTTGTCAAAGGCATCATTTTACTTGTATCCACAATCAATACTCATGGAAGCAGCAATCAAGAAATCAAATGACGTATTCAGTAAATCTACTGCAAAACCCTTCTTTAAAGTGTTAAGCAGCAAAGGAATCACTTTGAGGTTAAGGTGAACCTGAATCAAGCCATGGTATTTTCAATCACCTTATATGAATGTGAAAGCTGGATAGAAGACCATAGACGAATGAACGCATTCGAATTTGAGTGTTGGTGAAGACTATTAAAAATATCTTGGGTTGCTGAAACAACAACAACAAAAAAATCTGTCTTGAAAGCAGTGCAGCCAGAATGCTTCTTGGAGATGAGGATGGCCAGACTTCATCTCACACACTTTGGACATATTATCAGGAAGGACCAGTCCCTGGGCAGGGACATCAAGCTTTGCAAAGTAGAGGGTCAGCAAAAAGGAAGAAGACTTTCAAAGAGGCTGGTTGATACAGTGACTGCAACAGGAAGCTCAACATGACAACCGTTGTGATGATGGCACTGTGTTGTTCTCTTGTGCAGAGGGTTGCTGTGAGTAGGAACCAAACCCGCTATTGGTGTGTTGATCTTACTGACACCAGGTTTAAGCTTGTTGATCAAATCACACAACAGGACACCATTTTCTAGAGAGGCTCGAAAATCCTTTGTTTCAAAATTCTTCTCTGTTACCGTCTCCACCCATCTCTGAGCCTCCGAGAACGCCAAACGCCACCGCGCATCGGCTCCTCCATCTCTTCTATGCTTAGGGCAAGAGGCAGAGAGAGAGAGACTCGGTGGATGAACTCAGGTGCCCGGGGACATGGACCACCACAAATCCGGCTCTGCAACGCCAGGGACTCTCTTTCCCTTTGTTGCGCTCTGCTGTCTGTCAATGTTTCCAATCCACAAAATTTGAAGACCTTGCTTTCTCCAAACTCCTTTCCTGGCCAAGAAACTTCCCCGTGGGAAAGTGACCCGCCGAGATGCGCAGCCAGCGGCCTGCCGCCCTCACCTTCTATCCAACTCCTCTGCAGGCTCAGGCTGTACATTTTTAAGGGAGCAGAAAGCCTCATCTTTTTCCCGCGGAACCCGACTCGTAACCACTACGCTACCAGAGCTCCTTAACACACACACACACACACACACACATATTATTGTAATAAATAATATGCCTATTATTTATTAAAGTTTGATTTCTTATCATCTCATTCAGATATATCACTAAAAAATGCTGACATACAATATTCCATATACTTTTAATTCATAGATGCATACATACAAATACACACATACTAAGAAAACTGGAACCATACTATTTTGCAGCCTGCCCTTTTCTTACTAAGATTAAATCGCTCTATGTAAGTAATAAGCATTCACTTAGGATTTATGACTTATTCTATCCTTTTTTATTGATATATTACACGTCCATGTTGTTGCTAGGCACCCGTCAAGTTGGTTTCAATTATTCTATTGTTTCATATCTACTCCCAGATCTAAAGGACAATAGAATGCCTCCAGACATGGAACAAGTTAGCAGTGAAAGATTCTCTCCCATATGGATAGCCATGCTGGAAACACAGTCTCCTCCTCCTTCCTTTCTGAGTCACAGGAAAGAGCAAGAGGAAAATGATGAGGTGGCTTGGTCTCTTCTACTCTGCATTGAAATGATTTTCTGGGCTACAATCTAACTTCTTTTAAGGTTTCTGCTCCCATGCACACTCCTTTATTGAGTGTCCTAGCAACTTAAGAGTCTCCTTCCTTAGACCAGGAATGTGTGTGTGCAAGGTTCTGTCCCTGTGGGGAGCTCTCTGAGAAGCCTGAGCATGATAGTTAAGGTATTGTGACACCTTGGCTGGGCCAGATTCTCAGTGGTTTCACAGTTAAGAAGTAGTTATGGCCATGATGAGATTTGATATGATGGTTGGAGTCCTGGTGTGGGGCTGTGGGCTAATGCATCAGATTGCAAAGTCATTTGAGCTGCAAGGTCAGTGGTTCAAGCTCACCAACTGCTCCTTGGAAACCCTATACAGGGTCGCTATGGGTCAGAATTGACTAGACGGCACTTAACAACACAATCATCTACATGGAGTCTTGGTGTGGCGCTGTGGGTGAATGCGCTGGACTGCAAAGTCAGTTTGATCCACAAAATTGGTGGTTTAAGCTCACCAGCCACTTCTCAGAAGCCCTATGCAGGGTTGTTATGAGTTGGAACCAACTCAACGGCACTTAATAACAACAACAAAATCACCTACATGGTAAGATCTGCTATGAACAACCAGTCAACTGAAAAAAAGTTTCCTCAACGCCTTTTTCCTTACAGGAGATTCAAGGAGAGAGAAGTAAGCAGAGGAGAGGGACCTGCCACCACCAAGAAAGGAGAGCTGGGAGTACAGTGTGTCCTTTTGACCTGGGGTCCCTGAACTATGAAGCCAATCAATCCAGGGAAGGATGGATGCTAGACACATGGGGGTCTCCAAGGAGAGCTGGGTGTACAGATGCTAAAAGAACACAGGGACTTTTCACCAGAGCTGGTGCTTGGCAGTCAGACTTCTGGCCTCCCAAACTGTCAGAAAATAAATAGATTTCTGTCTATTAACGTCCCCCATGTGCGGTATTTCTGTTATAGCAGAATTAAGTATGAGAATAATTTCTGGTACCGCAGAATAATAGCACTAGAGAAATAAGACATCGGGAGGTGGAGAGAACATCTGGTCAGATCTGCCTGCGTTTACTTGCTTACTAAGTAAGGCTGAGGTGACTGACTACACACCCCAATAGAGGAGAAAGAAGAGATAGAAAGCAAGACTAATCATCATTTAGTTTGAAGACTAAGGTGTGCCTTAATATTTTCAGTCTCTTCAGATGCATGTGAAAGTTAGATAGTGAATAAGGAAGACCATAGAAGAATCGATGCATTTTAGTTACGGTGTTGGAGAAGAATATTGAAAGTACCACGGCCTGCTAGAAGAACAAACAAATCTGTGTTGGAAGAAGTACAACCAGAATGCTCTGTAGAAACCAGGATGGCATCTCTCACACTTCGGACATGTTATCAGAAGGGACCAGTCCCAAGAAGACATCATGCTTGTTAAAATGGAGGGTCAGCGAAAAAGAGGATGACCCCTAATGAGATGGGTTGACAAGTACCGATTTCCGTTCTGATGAGGTTAAATCAATCTTTGTTATCATTTTATTTACTGTCCTATGGGAGTCATGCCAAAGAACTTTTTGTCTAACTCCAGTTCACAAAAGTGTGTTCTATTGTTTTCTAAAAGTTTTATAGTTTCACTTTATGAGTTTAGGCCTATGATCCATTTTAACTAGATTCTGTGAGTTTGGTGTAAGGTCTTTTTTTTTTTTTTTTGTCACAATGCGATTTGTTGAAAAGACTAGTTTTCTCCACTGAATTGCTCTTGGATCACTGTTAAAAATCAAATAACCATCTATTTCTGGACTTTATGCTTTGTTCCATTAATCTGTGTCTCTCTCCCTTTGTAGATTCCACACTGTATTTTTTTTTTTACTTTACAGTATTGCTGTGATTTTTCCAGAACACAAAGATAGCAGCCATGTGGGGTAAAGTAAGTGGGTTTCCTGTCTCTGGGGTCACAAATCACAGAACCACACTTCATTCTAAACCTGCCCAGTGGTCTTCCCACAACCAGAGGCCATAGCTGCACACATCAGCCTGGGGCAGAGAGAGGACAGCTGCTGTCATTTTGTTCAATGTTCACCACGGCAACTTCCTAGTTAGAACACCTCCCATGTTTTCTCTCTCCAGATGTGATACTTTCCTTATTGTTGATGAAGGTGGTTAGGTGCTATCGTGTCGGTTCTGACTCACAGTGACCCTATCCGCAACAGAGTGAACCACTGTCTTGTCCTGTGCCATCCTCACAATTGTTAAGTTTAAGCCCATTGTTCCAACCCATAGTGACCCTGTATAGGGTTTCTGAGGAGCTGCTGGTGAGTTTGAACTGCTGACCTTGCAATTTAAATGGCTTTGCAGTCTGGCACACTAGGATTCTAGTCATCTTACTGAAATGGAAAATAAAACAACAGTGAGGTTTCATGAGATACCTACTGTTGTTGTTAAGTGCCGTGGAGCCAGTTCCGACTCATAGCCACCCTGCACAGGGTTTCTGAGGCTGTAAATCTTTATGGGAGCAGAACGCCTCCTCTTTCTCTCACGGAACTGCTGGTAGTTTCGAACTGCTGACCTTGCGGTTCACAGCCCGATTCGTAACCACTACGCTACCAGAGGTACCACTATGCTCCAGAGACACCTACAGTTCTACTGTGACACACATGGAGCACTATGAGTGGGATCTACTTATGAAACACCATCCACTGAGAACCCTGTGGAGCACAGTTCTACTCTGACACACGCGGGGGCACTATGAGTGGGATCTACTTATGAAACACCATCCACTGAGAACCCTGTGGAGCACAGTTCTACTCTGACACACGCGGGGGCACCATGAGTGGGATCTACTTATGAAAAATCATACTACTCAGCATAAAATAAGAATATACTGATACAGTATAATCTGGATGAATCTCAGAGATATTACCCTAGGTAAAAGAAACTAATCCCAAATGATCACATACTACATGATGTTATTCATATGCTTTTCTTGAAAGACAATATGAAGAACAGATAGTTGTTTCCAGGGTTTGGGGATAGTATGAGGAAGTTGTTGACATTATAGAACTTTTCTGTATTCCATTTGTAATGGTTTTTACACAGCTGTATTCCAGTTGCTACTGAGTTGAGTCCACATGTCTCTGAGAGTAGATCTGCACTCCACGGGGTTTTTAGTAACTGATTTTTCATAATTAGATTCCACTCATGGTGCCCCCGTGTGTGTCAGAGTAGAACTGTACTCCACAGGGTTCTCAGGGGATGATGTTTCATTAGTAGATTCCAGTCATGGTGCCCCATGTGTGTCAGAGTAGAACTGTGCTCACAGGGTTCCCAGTGGATGATTTTTCATAATTAGATTCCACTCATGGTGCCCCCATGTGTGTCAGAGTAGAACTGTGCTCCACAAGGTTCTCAGTGGATGAGTTTTCATAAGTAGATTCCACTCATGGTGCCCCCGTGTGTGTCAGAGTAGAACTGTGCCCACAGGGTTCTCAGTGGATAATTTTTCATAATTAGATTCCACTCATGGTGCCCCCGTGTGTGTCAGAGGAGAACTGTGCCCACAGG